ATCTTGGCAAGGTAGCAGAAAACCATATTTCCTAAATTGAACATACTGTGATGCATGATTCTTTTAATGTATTGTAAAAATGTCTGTCCTTTCACGTAATGCATTAAGCTGGATTTTGACATCTTATAACTAAAAAGGATAAAATATTGATAAACGGAAGAACATGTAGCTTCTGAGCAATCTACAGCTTCACCAGGACTTACAAAACTGTGTAACTAAAAGATTTAAATCACTGTAAGGAAAAAAGCATTGTAAAGTCAATGACTGCCATTGTGCTGGAGGGGGAGGAAAGGGAAGGCGAGTCTCTTGGATGCCCAGGTCACCAACCCTTGACCTCTGTTCTCAACCCTTGAATCTGTCATCTGTCTGCTTTTCCCGCCTTCTCTTCCTCCCCCTGTTCTGTCAAAGGAATTTGATTATGGTGGGGGGAGGAATGTGGCTTCCTAAAGTGATGCCTTTTTTTTAAACACTCAGATGCTCAGGACACTGTGAACAAGTGTGATATATAAGCAGCGTATTTGTAGCAGCTCACATTACAACTCCACTGTCAACTGTTACATCTACAGTTCTTTGCTTATGTGCATTTGCACCTAAAAAATAAAAGTTTTTTTTATTTTTTATTATGCTTCTGGAAAATAGGTCTGTAGGCTATGACATAATAGCGTACCACAGAAAGCCTTCTGCATCTCTGGTGTAGATCGTTGCAAGGGGGGAGGGGAGATTGTGGGGGTGGTGTTGTACAGTGAGTACACAAGGCGTGCTTTTTTCTCTCATATGCCACAAGCTCATATGTATATACAATTAGTGAAGCCTTTTCCTTCAGACTGGCTCTGACGGCCTGGCCCCCATGCTCCTATTCTCTTAACTAAATCCACTATGTCAGTGGACACCGGAGCACAATGAGGAATAGATACCCAGCTGGATATTCCCCCTGCTACAGACTAAGCTTTCCACGCGCTTCCCCAGTCTAATAACGACACAACAAGAGTCGTGTGACTAGCAGCACCCTTCCCCCACTCGTACATATTACCATTGCTCCTCAGTGCTGTCTAGAAAGGTCATGTGACCCTCATCAGCTTTCCGGGTTGGGGGAGGGGAGGCAGATTGAACCTGTTCTTTGTTAGGAGGTCAGCCTCAGCTCTATGGCAGGAAGCGCTGCTACCACACAGCATGTAATAGAAGTGCAGAAGGGGCAGAAGGCAGTGTGGAGGGATTAGAGGCGACTAGAGGTTTTGAGCATTCATGCGGTAGACAGCAAGCAAATAAAGCTCACATAGCGCAGTGCTAAGGCTTGCTTGACAAATGGCACAAGGCTGATGTAACAGAAAGAGAAATAAATGAACCAATTTTAGGTCTCTGTTTTCATTAGCACTGGCTCAAATGTGTGGATCAGTTAACATAAGCATGCGATCACTATTGCTGTTTGTGTGGGGAGCTGTAATGACAGTTCAAGGCTTGGAGAGGGCCAAAAAATCAAGCAGGAATATTTTTTATTTAAATAAATTAAAATAAATATGGAGGGGCAGTGTTTCTTCAGGGGGAACCAGCTACAAAGCTGCAGGGTAAACCTTCAGAAATTCAGTGCATCTCTACTGTTTGCAGATGATGTTGTCCTTCTGGCTTCATCAGACTGTAACCTCAAGCAGTTTGCATCAGAGTGTGACGGGGTTGAGATGAGGATCGGCAGCAGAATAATACAGTCTGTTTATCAGACCATGTTTGTGAGGATGAAGCTGAGCTATAAAACAAAGCTTTGACTTTACTGCTCAGTCTTCATTTCTCAAAGTACACATTGTCATAAGCTCTGACTACTGAATGAAAGAATGGGAGACTGAAAAAAGTTTATATTTTGTAGAATCAAATATTTTTAGGCTCAATGTATGAATGTGTGCGATGTAGTGTACAAAGCACTTTGATTAGTCGCAAAGACTAGAACGGTTGCTATACAAATAAAGAGCATTTACATTTACCATGTTTGACTGAAAATAATACTTTCACAAGTGGTGATTCTCAGACATCCTGATAATTGGTATTCAACTGTTTATTACTGATCGTGTGTCACTGTCTTATAATGTAGTCACTGTATGAATTGTTGCAAACACTCCAAATACAAGAGTAAATTGTAAACATCATTACAATCTAAACTAATCTATCTATACTATAATCTAATAAACATTGGATCATACAGTATGTGCACTACCACATCAAAGTGCAAATGTTGAATTAAAAGGTTCAATATTATCCAGTATGAGCAGTACAGCAAAACTGTGACATAATCTTAAGGAACATACTCTTTCAGAATTAAATACTGGAACTAAAAAGTGTGTCAAATAAACAATGTCAAGGAACATCGGTTTGCAGTACATACAATACTTAAAATATGCTGAGTACAAAATTAAAATGCAGATGGTTCATATTTGAATATAGGGCCGGATGTATGAATGGAGCAAACTTCTATTTGTCATTTTCTGGAAATGAGATGCCTCACTTCCTCACTGAAATGTATCACAACAACAAGAAAGGGCTCTGAAACTGTTATTTGGCAGGCTGGAGAGCTGAGCTCATATATCCATTTATCTGCTGTCATCAAATATGGATAGCTCTAGAGAACAGCCCTGACTGACATCTGCATGAACTTTGTGTGTTAATTTTCATTGTCTTTCATTCAGACCACAATACCTGCAAAAGCTAGCATTCCTAAATGTAACACTATCCTGTGATGATTATGATCCAAACAAAAATGTGGACAGAAAAACCTAGCAACGGGCAAACAGGCAAACTCGTTGTCATTAAATCCCTTGAAGAGACCAAAACCAACAATGATTTTGTCATTAGACTAGACACATTCTTTCATTACAATAACCATGGGCTCTGTAGTTTTTGTATTTTGAGTCTTTCCCACCATCTTGGCACTATAAATACTCATTAGAGCACCACATTTATTTCAATCCACAGCTGATAATCGTCCATATATTATATAATGAAGGAATTTGTTTTTTTCATGGGTTGAATCAAGAAATAAAATTGACATTATCCTTTAAGTTGTGGGACACAATTAACTCTTCTGTGAACACTAAGCAGTGTCAGCCTTGGTCTTTATCTTAGGCATAGCTGATGTTACCTCAGTGGGTGCCATCTTAGATTGTGTGGTAAATGGTGGTGCCAGAACTGCCTCCAGCTCAATACAAACATTACAAAAGAGACAATGGTGGACTTTCAAAGAACGAATCATCCCTCTCCCAAACCAGTTAACATTAGATTGTCTAGGCTGTCCTGGATACATACTGTACACTTACACGCTGTGCTAGACAACACTTGCTACTGTTCTAAATCAAACTACCATTACCTGCATCTGCTCTATATTCTTGGCTGTAATACTGCTCCTTGCTGTAATACTAGTACAATTTGTTGTATAACTGAATAATACAATATGACTGTAATACAATATGCACGAACCCCCCAACTGACAACCACTGCAATAATCTCGTCAGATTCCACCACAGACTAGCCTTGCTTTGACATAAAAGACCTGATCACATCTTCAAATATTTATAGGCTTTCCTTTAGGTTATTTTACTACTGTAGTTTGCAGTTCTGCAGTTTTTCATTTTCAAATTATACAATGTGAATTTTAAGTTTATAATCAAGGATTTAGCCAAGATTTTAGAAATAGTCAAGTCATGAACACAAGTCCTACCAATACAACTCTCACCCCTCTTGGAAATTTTAAGACAGGTACTCTCTAAAATCAATTTTTCATATTTATAAACTTGGTTTACTGTTGAATGATATGTTATATCAATAATCAAGGTCTAAATGTTGTTCAAAGCCTTCTCCACAATGCCAGGAAAAACGCATTTCTGAGTCAGCGTGTAATGTACACATCACAGCTTTTACTGAAGAATATTAACTCTCTCTCTGGTTAAATCCCAGAAAAAGTAGGCCTACAGCGGACATGACCTCAGTGTCCTAATTGGTAACTTCGGCCTATTTACAATCACATTATGGCTATTATCATGGTCCAAATTATGGGAGGATTTGGGGGGGTTTGACCCCTAGATTACATTTCATTCACAACATAAGCAAGAGGAAAGGAGATATTTGCTAAAAAAAAGTTGAAACTTAAAACTTGAAATGATAAGAATTAGGAATTAGATATGAAAATGCAGACTGTATTTTATGTTAGTGTTTATGGTGGTTTGAGCGGTCAAGATGGTCTGATCTTATGTGTCTGACATTCTGGCAGTTTTGCTGTAGAATGTTGACCTCTGACTACGAAAGTTGTCGTGTGGTATGGGGCACCAATGAACCGGTGTAATGACTTTGATTTATCATCAACAGCCTGCACACATTAACGTTAAATAAGCAAGGAAAGTCTAAGCAAGATTTTTGTTTACTGAAGCCCGCGCCTGAGCTGTACTGGGTTTTCTTTTTGACCTGGAAAAGAAAACCCAGGACAGCTCCGAGTACAGTGACTGGTTGTCACTGTATAATTTGCACCCTGGCTACTATGCTGTAATTTCTCCACCAAACTCAGCTTTTAATAAAACTTCTTTCCTGGATACAGCATTATAAGCTCACATTCTTATAACTGTAGGCTACTTAACTAAAAGCATGCGGATTTGCAGATGAAGCTGCAGCAGTTGTGGCTTCAGCATGGAATATATCATGCGTAAATATTGCCGTGTGTACGGTAAACAAAGGAATGTGTCACACCAGTGTAGAGCCGTAATGATGTCAACTTGTTATTTACTTTCCAAATCTGAATGACTGAGCAAGGCGAAAGGAGAATTAATCAACCGCTGTGTGACTGGGCAGGCGAAAAATAGTGGAGTGTGGGGGAGGGGAAGTGGCTCAGAGGCCAGATAGGCAACATGCTAGACTGTAGCCTGTGAGACCCAGCTGAGCACACTGTCTCTATTAAAACAAAATATCAAACTAATAATACACTGTAGGGCGGTTTTTCGAGAGGGTGGTATTTTAAAAGGTTTACATTGTGCGACCAAATGTATATTCTGGGTCAAATTTAAGCCACACTCAGTTCCATTTTAGGTAACTTACACATTTAGATATAGAAAACATACAGTAACGTAGCTATGTCGTAACGGTAAATAACCGTAACAACATGTTTATCTGATCATGTAAGATGGATATACTATGCCTTTAAGATAGCTAGCTAGTAGATGTTTACAAACTGACATTTGAGCATGTAATCTAGTCACTTATGGCAGTGAGATATACACGATTCAAACTATGGCTGAATCAATTAATTAATCTATATAATTGGCCGTGTTTTCTTTATTCAGGTTTAAGGTCAGTTAGCCTTCACCCCCACCACCACTCTCTCCTATTCGCTGTCTACGTCTCTCTCCCGCTGCCGATCAGCGCTTGCTGCTGTGTCTACGTTCCTGTTGTCAGTGAACGGTGAAACTCCACAGAGTAGCCTGCAGCCTCAGCCACAGAAACTCGGGTTTATTCCAACTTTACTGCCACTTGTGAGTGTGCCTGAACGAGTAACGCTTTGTTAGCACACCAAATTAGCCGACAGTGAGTCACACAGCAAACGGTCGGAACTTGAAATATGACGATAAGCAAAATGGGTGGAAAGTCATTGCTAGCTTGCTGAAGTTGGAGGTTCTCCTTGTGGAAGAGGAAGAGGTGGCGGCGGCGGCGGCAGACACCACGAGTTCACTCTCACAATAAAAAGGTAAGCCAATAAAAGTCGAGTGGCATGGTTTAGGCTGCATTGCGTTCAGGCTGCTTTTGTGTTTGTGTGTGGTTTACATGCAGGAGGATAATGACTTTCAGAAATTGGAGATTATAGCGTTGATTATGTGGTTGCCGGCACATAGCGTAGTCACCCATTCACTCCACACGTGTGTTGCAATTCCTGCTTGTGTCTTTTAATTTTCTCTCTGTCGGTGTTGGTTATCCAAACAACCTACTTTTCTGAAACTGTCGTCTTTATACTTACATTAAACCTTGGTAGCTGAGCTGTGGTCGACTACTTCGCAAAATACAATAAGTTTTAGAGGTTGAAGGTTGTCCCATTGTGGTAGTTTGATAGCTGCTTTGCCCTTAATAACACAGTAGAAAACCTTCACCACATAAAGTTGCACCGGTGCAGTTTTAAGTCATTTTGTTCAAGCGGAAATATGAATCATACATATTATATTGCCATGCAGACTGAGGGAGCGCATGAGTGGGGCAAGGCATTCACACTATACTACACATTGCCACCAGTTTCCAAGGGGGCAGTTCGTGTTACTGTACAATGTGATGCTGTTTCCTGACTGCACAGCAGAACAGAACAGAGGCACCAATATATCAAAGAAACCCTGCTAAATAAGACACTTGAGGTCATGGGGCTTTCACATCTCCACAGAACACTTAATAAAAGACTTCACTTTTATAAAGAGATTAAGAAATGTTGTGTGACCTATAATTTCTTCTAATTTCCAACTAGTAAGCCCTGGCTGTTCTCTGTACATGGAATAATGAGAAACAGCATGCACAGACACAGTTAGGATGTCTCGCCTAACCTCTGAGCATCCAAGTGATCATTATCTCTATTAAAGCAAGACATGAGAAGGATTAGGATGAAAATAACTGCTAAAACACACTGCTGTTTGAATGCTGTCTTAGCCTGATTCTACTTCAGTGACCCAAATAATTAATGCCAAAGTGATGCCCCATTTTCTTGTTGATAAGAGGCTGTTGTATGTTGTTTGTTCACACTTTCAGTCAATGTTGTGAAGCTTAATGAAAGCAAATGTAGGCATTTCAGCAAAGAAGTGGCATTGGTGGGAACCACTTTGGTGAGATGGACTTCATTTGACATTTTGGCTGCTGCTGCCACCTTTTTGGTTTTTTTGAATAGTAGGTTATTGGTCATAAGCTGGATGACAAGTTTGTGTTCATTACAATGAAACTTAAAATATTATCAGCGAATATGAACTGGGCAATAATTTGAGATTATTGTCTTTCTCTGGAATTGTATTGTGACAATACGATTACATAATAGGGATGTATGTTACAGAAATATCGAGGTAGAACAATTCATAATCAACATAAATGCAACCCACGTAGCCTCATCCCACATTACGTTGTCAAAATTACGTTAAGGCAGTTCCAAACAAAGTCTACAAACACCCTAACCTTTTCTATGCTATTTGTATTCTCAGATGTTTTGGTGTCCCAATTTTTGATCTGCAGATTTTGAAGATTTGTTTTCTGGCCTGATGTCTAAAAGTGGGGACACATTGTGTTGCATTGAACACAAGTTTCATGATTTCTAAGTGATTTTAGCTCATATTTCCCTATTTTCATATTTATTTCATTTGAAAACTTTTCTTTTTAACATTGTGATATTGATTTCAGTCATTTTGCCTTGCTTTGTGTGTACCAGTTTTGTCACCACAGTCAAGAACTTAATTGCAGTAGTTACAAAAATAGGTTTAGTGCCACCTATTTAAAGAACAATAGGAGTTTTATTATGTCTTAACTGTATTTATCAGACCACTTAATGTTTTACATTTATTGATCCCTAAATATGTTATGGTTTGTGTCTAAAGTCATTACCACATCCCATTGATAGCCCTGGAAGATCTAATATTTACAGAGTGATTAGCTGTAAGTTTTCTCAATGCTTCATGGACCTTGACACATTTCCTAGTTAGCATTTTGTTCTTGGGGGCTTTTAATGTCTATCTTTTGCGTTTCAGTAGGTGGACATAGTTAGCTGTGTTCTGAGTCCTCAGAGGGCATGAATGAATAATGTTGTTGGTCTACACGTTATTGTCTGTCTGCCTCTTGTTCAGTGACATGGCTTGAGATGCGACCTATTGTCTTTGGTTTCAGTGCTGTGTACGGTCTCTGGTCCAGAAAAAAAGTGGATGGCCTGGATTTGAAAAATCACAATTCATTTATCTACTTGCTTGTAGTCGGCCCTTGTTTTGCTCTAAATAGATTTTTGGTAAGTCATTCAAATGTAACTACGATGGACTGAATGAACTTAGGCATAGACGAGACAACAGCAAATCCAAGGTACATTGTGTTTGTGTGTTCAAAAAAGAAATATATTCCTTGCTTATAAGTAGGGCAAGGGAGTCCCTGAGAAAGCCCATGTCAGCCTTGTGGTGCGGCAAAGCTCTGTATCGGGCTGTCCAAATATTTCTGTAGCAGTATTTATTTATGATGGGCAATGGGGGGGGGTTGAGCCATTCTCTCCCTCCAAAAAGAGACATACAGTGTGCATGGGCTACCAGCCAACTGGCAGACTAGTGGTTACTCTGAAATAACGCCCATACAAGTACTGGCTAGTTCAAGGCTATAGTTATTTATTTGGATTTATTTTGGATTTAGGGTGGCTCTGTTTATCGTGAACTTGTGACTGTTGTGCCTTGACTCTGTCCTTGTGTGTGTATATAAATTAAAACAAGTGGGAGGAAGCCACATGCTTCAGGGGTGTGTTAAATAACTATTTCAATGTCTAGCAGCTTATCAGTTTCTATTTTTTTGTGTCTGAACCCACCATAGTGAAGGTGATTCAGTTTCCTTCTTTAAAGCAGCCCAAAGGAACTTGAATTTTGTGTTGATTTTTGGCAGCTACTGGACAAAAGCAGTAGTGTTTCTACCGCCTTGTGTCATAAAGATCTTTATCTGGCTAGTGCGTGCATTTGTTTTGGAAACGATTGAAGGGAAAACACTATTTTAATACTATTTTTCTTTTTTAAACATCTGTTTGCAGAATGCATAGCAATGAGGTAATGTGTCTAAATGTGGCTATATGAGATCACTAACTATAATATGACAATGGTGAAACAACGTAAACTTTGTTTTAGTACTGTTCATACTCCTAGGTTACATGTAAGCCTACAACTAACAGATTTGGTTGCTCAGTAATAGTAAAGAAAGCTGAAGTTATCAACATTCCCTAGTAATATTCTGTCTTTATAATAACCTTAATAAGCAGCAAAATATAGCTCTGCCAACATAAAATATTACGTTATAACCCAGTTGTATTACACTAATGTCCACTGTCCACCTCCATGGACTGTACACAGACAAATTACTTACCTGTCTAAGAGGAAGAGAGCAAATTCAGGATCTGTTTTGATCCTTTCAAATTCTCTCCATCTGTTGAATGACCAAAGGTCAATTGTGTTATCGCCCTTGTTCTATCACTTACCCTTTTTAATTTTTTTTTTTATTCTTCTGTCAATTCTATTATTGTTTTCTTTGCTGATCCTGCCGCAGTATCAGCCATAACCACAAAATATAACGTCAAAAAGTATCCCCCTGCTTTCTTTTGCCTGGGAGAATGGAAACATAGGTTCTTTCGGTCTGCATGGTAGATGCAGTAAATGGTTTCATCAGATTTTTGCAGGGAACCGCACCCGGTGACAGGTATTAAGAATAAGTAGTATTAAACTGAGATTATTTCATAACCAGTTAAAATCTCCTTGTAATTTTCTTTAAAGACTTAACATCTATTGTTAATGAAACACTTTTTAGTGCGCTCCTGTCTGTGTGAGATTATGCTCGGCCAAAAAGACACAAACATTTCAAGTTGATTATGGTCTATGTTGCTATCATTCTAGTTTGCCTTTACATTTTAACTAGTGTTACAGTGGATGACTGTTAAGGAAGTTGTGCAAGCACATGCATGCCAGAGTGACAAACTTCTCTACCAAAGGGAATTTATCTCCCACCCCCCATTCAGCCATGGAAGCTTATGTTGCAGCTGTTTGTGTATTGCGTAGGGGTAAAGTGAATGTGAAGAAAAGTATGTACTCCCAGGAACATAAAGAGAACAGCATCTGAAAATATTACCTCAACATTAATTAGTATCAGCGCTACAAAACCCAAGGATAAAGGTTTTACTATAGAATGTAGTGTAGAGTGATGAAGGGTATGTATGTCATCATAGTCTTTGCCATAGCTTTGTACATCATGGTTTGACAAAGACTCTTACACTAACAACACTACATTTGTGACGTATTCATAAAATCACATTGTGACAAAATTTTCAAGATATGTTATCTGTGTGATACTGTTGTCATGTCTAAATGAAATATAAGTGAACGTGACAGGATGTTGTTCCTGAAGTACACCTTTTTGGAGATGTAGTTTACACAGGCTTGTACTTTCGACTTTTTAAGAACCAGATATTTTATAACGCAGTTGTTTATCTTTTGTGCTGATGATTGAATCAAGAGTTTCAGTTTCATGCCCATACAAGCCATAAAAGTGCTCCAACACAGTCGCCTGATATTGTCCATGGAGGAAATGAATGGGACTTTCAGAACTGGGGGAGACTGGTATAGCTCCTTCCACTTAGCAACTCTGTAGTAGATGTATCTGTAATATCTTGCATTGATAATACTTCTGTAAAAATTGTAGCATGTATATTGAGACAGTGCTAATGTAATTTTTACAGCATTTATTCATTATAGTTTATGTCTGAGGATTTACAGGATTTTTGCATTAATATGATGGAAGTACCTTGATTTGTCAGATATTTTATTCACTGGGAGAGCACTGGTTGTATTATCTATAATTTGTAATTTGTTGTATATGATAGCAAGCCTCTTTTCACACCTTCAAGCATCATGGCATGGCAGTCTCACACTTGCAGTAAGAGATGGGTGTTTTTGTGGAGTTCTGTTCTTAATGTAGTCATAGGATGTCTGTGTATAGTTGTGA